AAAATTCAATGGCATGATTTATTTTTTTTTTTTAAAGAGCTCCTTTCTTTTTTTACTCTTAGAATTAGGCCATAGTCTGGTAAGAGTCATATGGTCATTATGAGACTAAATACTGTTAAAAGACAAAGCATTGCCATTTTACTATTACACAGTACAAACATCTGTAGAAATCATCTCATGAAGTAAACTTAAAATGTAGAGGCTTGGGTAGAATCAATATTGTGAAAATGATCATATTTCCAAAAGTAATCTACACATTCAATGTAACTGCCATCAAAATACCACCATCATTCTTCACACAACTAGAAAAAACAATCCTAAGATACATATGGAACCAAACAAGAGCCTGCATAGCCAAAGCAAGGTTAAGTAAAAAAAAAAAAAAAACAAATCTGGAGGCATCACATTACTGGATTTCAAACTATACTATAAGCCCATAGTCACCACAACAGCATGATACTGGCATAAAAATAGGCACATAGACCAATGGAATAGAATAGAGAACCCAGAAATAAACCCAAATACTTACAGCCAACTGATCTTCATTAAAGCGAACAAAAACATAAAGTGGGGAAAGGACACCCTAATCAACAAATGGTGCTGGGATAATTGGCAAACCACATGTAAGAGAATGAAACTGAATCCTCATCTCTCACTTTATATAAAAATCAACTCAAGGACGTGTGCAGTGGCTCACGCCTGTAATCCCAGCACTTTGGGAGGCTGAGGTGGGCAGATCACGAGGTCAAGAGATTGAGACAATCCTGGCCAACATGGTGAAACCCTGTCTCCATTAAAAATACAAAAATTTAGCTGGGTATGGTGGCACACACCTATTGTCCCAGCTACTCAGGAGGCTGAGGCAGGAGAATCACTTAAGCCCGGGAAGCGGAGGTTGCAGTGAGCCAGGATCCCACCACTGCACTCCAGTCTTGGCGACAGAGCACGACTCCATCTCAAACAAAAAAAAAAAAAAAAAAAAAAATCAACTCAAGATGGATCAAAGACTTAAATCTAAAACCTGCAACTATAAAAATTCTAAAAGATGACGTCAGAAATACCCTTCTAGACAATGGCTTAGGCAAAGACTTCATGACCAAGAACCCAAAAGCAAACGCAACAAAAACAAAAGGTAAATAGGTGGGACTTAATCAAACTAAAGAGCTTCCGCACAGCAAAAGGAATAGTCAGCACAGTAAACAGACAACTGACAGAGTGGGAGAAAATCTTCACAATCTATACACAAAGGACAAATATCCAGAACCTACAAGGAATTCAAACAAATTAGCAAGAAAAAAAACAACGCCATCAAAAGTGGTCTAAGGACACAAATAGACAATTCTCAAAAGAAGATATACAAATGGCCAACAAACATATGAAAAAATGCTCACTATCACTAATGATCAGGGAAATGCAAATAAAAAATCACAATGCGACATCACTTTACTCCTGCAAGAATGACCATAATCAAAAAATCAAAAAATAATAGATGTTGGTGTGGATGCGTTGAACAGGGACCACTTCTACACTGCTGGTGGGAAGGTAAACTAATACAGCCACTATGAAAAAAAGTGTGGAGATTCCTTAAAGAACCGAAAGTAGACATACCATTTGATCAAGTGGCTTCACTTGTTCCTCTGCTTCAGGGTCTCTCGCTTGTTGTAATCAAAGTGTCAACTAGAGTTGTACTATCTCAAAGGTCAACTGGGAAAAGATCAGTTTCAAAGCTCGTTCACATGGTTGTTGGCAGAATTTGGTTCTTCCACTACTTTTCCCAGGGGAAAATAAGTCATCATACAAAAAAGATACTTGCACATCCATGTTTATAGCAGCACAATTCGCCAGTGCAAAAACATGGAACCAGCCCAAATACCCATCAATCAACAAGTGGATAAGGAAATTGTCATATATATATACAATATGGAATACTACATAGCCATAAAAAGGAATGAGTTAATGGCATTTGCAGCAACCTGGATGGAACTGGAGACTATTATTCTAAGTGAAGTAACTCAGGAATAGAAAACCAAATGTCATATGTTCTCACTCATAAGTGGGAGCTAAGCTATGAGGATGCAAAGGAATAAGAATGATACAATGGACTTTGGGAACTCAGGGAAAAGTGTGAGAGGGGGTGAGAAATAAAAAACTACAAATTGGGTTCAGTGATACTGCTCAGGTGATGGGTGCACCAAAATCTCACTAAAGAGCTTACTCATGTAACCAAATACTACCTGTTCCCCCAAAACCTATGGAAATAATTTTTTTTTTTTAAAAAAGAAAAAAATGTAAAGGCTGAAACACAATGCAAATCAAAAGGCAAATAACAAATGGTACAATGCATGCAACATATATGACAGATAAAGATTAATCTCTTTTGTATATAAAATACTCTTACAAACCAGTATTTTTTTTTGAGACGGAGTCTTGCTCTGTTGCCCAGGCTGGAGTACAATGGTGCAATCTCTGCTCACTGCCACCTCCGCCTCCTGGGTTCAAAGATTCTCCTGCTTCAGCCTCCCAAGTAGCTGGAATTACAGGTGCCTGCCACCATGCCCAGCTTTTTCTTTGTATTTTTGGTAGAGACGGGGTTTCACCATGTTGGCCAGGCTGGTCTCAAACTCCTGACCTCGTGATCTGCCTGCCTCAGTCTCCCAAAGTGCTGCAATTACAGGTGTGAGCCACTGTGCCCAGCCACAAACCAATAAATTTTAAAATCCAGTGGAAAAATAGGCAAAGGACGTTGTTAGACAATATACAAAAAGGAAAAGACAAATAGAGTCTAAACTTGTGAAAAAAAACACTCAATGCCTCTCATAAGAGAAATGAGCATGAAAAATGTATGATTTGCAACTTGCCAGATTAACAGAAATCAAAAAAGTTTGATATTACTTTGGGCATTTTCATATAGTATTTTTGGAAATGTAATTTGGCAAAAATCTTTTTAGAAGGCAATATCTATCAAAAATAAAAACATTTAAGTTAAAATGCATATTGATTTTAACTCAATCACTTCATGTGTAAGAATTAATTCTACAGGTATTCCCACATTAAACATATGTATAAGGGTATTAATTTAAGCAAAAGGTTGGAAACTGTCTACCTTTAGAAGACTGTCAAATATAATAATTGATATAATGAATTATATGGCCATTCCATTAGAATGAAATATACAGATATTTTATATGTATTGTTATGTAACTATTTGTCAAGTATATTGTGCAAAAATGAATATACACAGTGTGTATAATATGCTATCATTTGTGAAAAAACTATTCTGTATACATGTGCATATGAATATGCATTCTCTGTAATGACTCATTAAAAAGTGGCAAAAATCCTTGTCTTTAGGAAGATCTGGGGCTTCGATAGGAAGGAGTCTTTTATTTAGAACTTTTTGAACTTGTTCATGGATACTTTTAACCTTTTAAGGGTTAACATTTTCACATATGAAACACATTTAATAGGCAAGTTCTTCTCTGGTCTAGAAGAAATGTTACATAATTAGAAATCAAAGACACTGTGGAAACACTTATGCTCATGAGCACATACAATTCTAGTTTCAATCAAATAAAGTCTCTTGTGTTGACAAGACAAAATTAAAACCTTCAGCTTTCATTTCAGTTGTGCTAAAAATGAGCCAGGTAGTATCACTACAGTTACATTTGCTATGAGCCTTTCTTGCTCCAAAGACAATTTGGTTATCAGAAGGTGTTTGTGTGCAGCAAGTGGCATCTGTTGCCTATTTGTCAGGAGCAGAAGTCTGAGCACTTCGGTCCACTGCGTCTTGTTTCAAAGTCGCCAAGGAAAACAATGCAGTCAAACACCGGGTGGAACACACATTGCTCACATACAGAAGAGATAGAGCAAGATCAGCTTCCCTAGTGGACTTCAGGCTCCCCTGACCAGAGGCTCCCTCTTGGCAGCTGACACAGGGTAGGTGGCCTGCACACACTCCTCTTGTGCTGAAGGACCCCCATCCCCTCCCCCACAGGAGACAGAGCAGTGGGGTTGGTCAGATGCCATATGATGCACACGGCTGCACACGCTTAAGCAGAGCAAAGGACTACACATTGACTCTGAAACAGAGGAAGATACTACTATATAAGATGGTAAGTTCAGCACAGACCCTGTGGACTCTTAGTCTCTTCAAAGGAAATGTTCCACGCCCAAGGCCCACTCTCAAAACAACTGAGTAGGAGTTAAAAGACTATATGTATGGGATTCCATTTCCCAACAGTTTGGCCCTTTCACAAGGAAGAAATTAGAAGAGTCACAGAATTGAAAATGAGTTAGAAAATATACAGTTATCTTGAAAGTTTTATCCATAGGGAAGCAGTATAATGAAGAATAAGAACTTAAGATTTGGAATCCATGTTTTATTTATTATCAATGGGCAATTGGGGAATGTTTAAAACTTCTCTGAACTTTAGTTTTCTTGTATGTAAAATGGGGCTAATACAATCAGCTTCCAACTTGTAATATGTTAACTGAGATAACACATAAAATCTCGGCCAGGCGCGGTGGCTCACGCCTGTAATCCCAGCAGTTTGAGAGGCCAAGGTAGGTGGACCACGAGGTCAGGAAATTGAGACCATCCTGGCTAACACAGTGAAACCCTGTCTCTACTAAAAATGCAAAACATTAGCTGGGCATGGTGGCGGGTGCCTGTAGTCCCAGCTACTAGGGAGGCTGAGGCAGGAGAATTGCTTGAGCCCAGGAGGCAGAGGTTGCATTGAGCCAAGATCGCACCACTGTACTTCAGTCTGGGTGACAGAGGGAGACTCTGTCTCAAAAAATATATAAATACAATAAAATACAATAAAATAAAATAAAATAAAATAAAATAAAATAAAATAAAATAAAATAAACTCCCTACACCACCTGTCCTAACACAGAGGTATTAAGTGCTCACTATAGGGTCAAACTTACAGGGAAATATGGGTGATATAAATGCTGTTTTGAATTTTCTTTACAACTAAAAGAAGAAAATTAGCAAATAATGTTTCCAGACAGTTCTATTTAATACTTTATGTATTTGAGTAACTGACTAAAAAGCAAATGTTCATCAGGTTTTTTTGAGTTGCACAAAAGGAAAATACAGGGTTTGTTTGCCAAATTCATTTGGATATGAAGCCAACTTCATCAAACTTAAAAATTCTAACTCCTTGTGACCTAGGGTTCTCAAAAGAGCAGGTAGAATTAATACTGTTCTTGCATTAATGGTTCAAAGAAGTCATTATGTTTTGTTTCTTGATGCTGTAGATTTAACAACATACTGGTAGAGATGTGTAACTTCTTACATGGATTAGACATCAAGAAGCCAATGTGTACATATAAACTAAAAACTTAAAATGAATACATTCAGATATTAAAGTACAAAACTATATAACAAACACAAATTTGTTAATTTTCCACAAGGACCAAAACAACACTATTAATAAAGAGTAGTCTTTTTCATCACTCTCGAAAATTCTTCCTCATTTATTTTTCCATCTCCATCATGATCAGCTTCATCAAGCATTTCCTGTAAAACAAAATGTAAATACATGAAATACATTTAAAATGATATAAATGAAGTCAAACACATATTCAAAACCAAATTTTATTTTAAATGTATAAGTACAACTAGAATTAGAATTATAATCCTAAATTATCACAAGTTATAATTACATATAAATTATAAAAATAAGCAAAATCTACCCGAAGTTCATCATGTTAAATTTTCCCCTAGTTTGAGTAACCCTCTTGATACTGGTTAGTGTTATACTTCCAGTATCATCATCATCAAATAATTTGAAAGCCTTCAATATTTCTTCTTTTTCATCTTTTTTACTCTTTTAAAAAAGAAGCAACTACATAGTCTTTCATTTATTTATTTTATCAAGCTGGACTTACTAGATCCTTGGGGTCTAAAGCAGCAATGTGCCAAGTAGCTGAGTTCTGATTTTATTTATTGGTCTTTTAACAATTATGTACTCACATCTGCCCTCAAGGTGCTTAAATGTAGAGCTTGCTGAAGTGCAGGAGGCACAGGGTGGTAGAGAATGCATCTCTTATTAAACCTAGTAATTCAGATCCTTTACCAAAAATGTAAGCTTCAAAACAGGAAGGTTGTCTCTTGCAATGCTCCTTAGAATAGTGCCTGGCAAAAACAGGCACTCAATACATGTTTGCTGAATTCAAGGCTTCCAAATTCTGGCCCCATTCTCTCTATCCTGCAATACAGCCTCATTATTTCCTGACAGAAAACTCTTCTCCACATCATAGTCTTCTCATTACTACCCTGAAATCATATTTAATCTTGCTCTTCCTATCTCCTATCCTTAAAAACCTAGTTCCAATTCTTTCTCTATGAAACCTCTGATTGTTGCAGCCCTAAAATGTAGCAGGTTATTGCTAGTATTTCTTCGAAAAATAAAATCACAACTATATCATTTTTATACTCATAATGGCAAAAAAATCTTCAAAACTAATGGTACCAATTCCTTCTTTATCAATTTCAGCTATCATTTTTAAAATTTCTTCTTCCTTTGGTTCAAATCCTAAGGCCCACATTGCAATCTGAAATAGGAAGAAAATAAATTATAACATGCCATGATTTTATTTTAAGCTTTTTAACGCCCTATTAAGAGCTTTTCTCTTTTCTATTATGGACTGAGCATAAACATAGAAAACTAGGTCAGCAGGCCTGTGTTCCAATCCTACTGTGCCATCAGGTACATCACTGTTACACCCTGGCTTTTGCCTACTCATTTATAAAGCACAATTAAAATGCTTAACAAGATATTGTTTTGTTAACGCAGGGCAACCATATGCACTGAAGAGACTCTATATCAAGCTTTCAGAAGACTACTGTTAAAGAAAGCCTTAAAGATTGCCACAAATAATACGGTTTTAAAAATGATTTAGAATTAGAAATAATTTCAGAACCTTCTTTTACATCGATGGTTCCAGACCTATCGACATCAAATAAATTAAAGGCATCTTTAATTTCTTGCTTTTGGGATTCATTCCGTTCAATTTTTGCTGCTCTTTTCTTCCATTGATCTGAACTTGTATGGTAGTTAGATGTCTGTAATACACACACATATGGGTGAAAGAAAAATTACATAACTGGAATAGTTAGCAGAACCAGAATAATTGATGACAAACTATTAAAGTACCTATTTCCTACTATATAATGAATCTCAACAGGAGCAAGGAAGGAATGCAGTTGCTGCCAGGGGCAGCCTTCCTTGCTCTGGGGGAAAAACTTCAGCTCCGGCCCTAGCACAAGGTTACAGCTTCACACTCACCATATCCCCAGCCGGCACTCTCAGCCGGGACCTCCCGGCGTCACCTCCCACAGCCCCGCCCAACCCAAGTCTTTACAGCTCATAAGCGGTTGCTAAGGCCGCTCTCACCGACCTCTCTCAGCCCCGCCCGCCCAGCCTGAATGATTGACATCCAGTCCATCCAATGGACAGAAAAGAAGGCCTTTAAACCAGCCCTTTCTCTCTACTCTCTACCAATAGAGTGACGTTCCCGCCTTTCGCAGTCCGGCGTTAAGCGGAACTTTTCTATCCAACTGTGTTTCTTAGCAACTAACCCTCGGCTCCACCAGAAGCCCCTCTTCGCACATGCGCAAACTGCGGACGGGGAAGGGGGCGCCCTAACCCTGGCGTTTTTGGTGTTGCTGTCCCAGCCAGAATCGCGTCTGGCCGGTGGGAAGCCGGGAACTCCAGCCTCCCGCAGGACAGGAGAAAGGAGCGAGGTTAGTAGTGAGGTGCTTCCGCTGACTGCTGAGCTAAGTCTTTCCTGAAGACGTGGGAGCCGTTGTGTTTGATTTTTCTGTCCTCTTCGGGCCAGGGAAAGGATGAGAATCTAGGGCCTGGAGGGCCTGGGGTGAATGGGTCCAGCATGTGGCTAGGAGTACTTGAGGAAGAGTGGACTGCCCTTTCTTTTTGCCGCTAGACTTTCCTCATTTTCCACAGTGCCTGGAGCTTGGCCTTCAGCCATTTACCTCCTCCCTGTTTTGGGCAGGGATTCTGGCATGGTAGACACCAAAATTTCTGTATAGCAGTGGCATAGGGCAACAGTGTCGTTGGAGGGACGTGGGTATGGGAATAAGCATGGGTCTTGGGATGTGTTTAAAGCTTCACTACATACATAGATAAACGTTTTTACGTATGTTTCGTGTAGCATTTGGCCCCACCCATAATTACTATTGGACCCCGCCCCCCAACACACACACACACACACACACACACACACACACACACGCACGCCCCCAGCCATTTCCTTGGCCCAGACCTAAGATCTAGCCAGTTGTCAACAATGTCAGCTTGATCTGCACTTCAGAGTCAGACACGGGTAGTCTGATTATCCAGTTGATTCAGTAACGGCCTAGACTTAGATACTCGTGAAACTTTTGTAAACCAACTCAATCTCTTGTCCAGAGGGCCGGATTTACTGCTTCTGTCCATTCTGAATTTGGCCAGGAATCAGCTTAAAGGACAGGGGAGAAAGAGTGAGGTAGGGTGGACCACTGACTTCCTGGTGGGAATGAAGAAATGAGAGAATCTTAAAACTTCTAACTTTTAATTGCTCACATATGCGGGCCCTTTTTATGCCTCCTACAATGCCTTCTCTAGAGTAAATATTTTCTAAAAATTATACTGGATTCTTCAAAAATGGATTCAGGAAGAATTCTAACGTTAGTTTTTTTTTTTTTTTTTTTTTTTTTTTTTTTTTTTTTTGGTCTCACTTATCTTCCTGAAGGTAGGAGAGGAAAACAAGTGCAAAGTGCATTCTTGAAGCACTCTGTCAAATCACTTTTCATGCTTTAGTAAGTAGAAACATGGTACATTTTCCAAAACCATCAGCCTGTCTTGTTCATATTATATTCCAGACAGACACGCAAGTATTGTAATCATTGATAAAAATCTCATTAGGTTTCTGGAAAATAGGTAAGGTTATCCTCATATTGCAGGTGATTTTTCCATATGAAATTACCCAGTGAGGCCGGGCGTGGTGGCTCAAGCCTGTAATCCCAGCACTTTGGGAGGCCGAGGCGGGCGGATCACAAGGTCAGGAGATCGAGACCACAGTGAAACCCCGTCTCTACTAAAAATACAAAAAATTAGCCGGGCGCGGTGGCGGGCGCCTGTAGTCCCAGCTACTCAGGAGGCTGAGGCAGGAGAATGGCGGGAACCCGGGAGGCGGAGCTTGCAGTGAGCCGAGATCGCGCCACTGCACTCCAGCCTGGGCGACAGCGTGAGACTCCGTCTCAAAAAAAAAAAAAAAAAAAAAAAAGAAATTACCCAGTGAAAATTAAAATGGCGTAAATTCAAGATAATTTTTGAGTTAAGTAAAATGTCACTTTAATATATGATTTTTCACATCATTTATCTCACTTGGAAAGTTGCTCTTGATCAGTTTCAAGCTCATATACTTTTTTTTTTTTTTTGAGACAGAGTCTCCCTCTGTCGCCCAGGCTGGAGTTCTGTGGCGAGATCCCGGCTCACTGCAAGCTCCACCTCCCGGGTTCTTGCCATTCTCCTGCCTCATCCTCCCGAAAAGCTGGGACTACAGGCACTCGCCACGACGCCCGGCTAATTTTTTGTATTTTTAGTAGAGACGGAGTTTCACCGTGTTAGCCAGGATGGTCTCGATCTCCTGACCTCATGATCCTCTCGCCTCGGCCTCCCAAAGTGCTGGGATTATAGGCGTGAACCATTGCTCCTGGCCATATATTTCATTTTTAATACTACTATTAAAGGGATTTCTTAGACCCAGAAATGAATAGTGACCAAGTATATACTCAACCCAATCCTAATTTCTAGGATCTCTTGGATCATGTTTGATCTAATGACAATTAAAAGGCTGGGTAGTATATTAACCTATTTTTATATCACGCTATGATTTAGGCTTTTATATTTGGAATATTTACTACTAGTTAAAATGTTTTTTTTTAATTGTAGGCTCAGATTCCAATTCCCAGATCTTGAGTAGGATGTAATTAGTTTCGAAAAATAGCTATTAACTAATCTAACTGCACTTTAGAACATTATCGTTATCCAGGAAAACATTAAACACATAGGCAATCTTAAATCTCCCAAATGTATTTAATGCTTTCTATATGTCATGCACTATGCCAACTACTGGGTGAGTTCAAAAGAAATAAAAGTAGAATATAAAAGATGAATAACTAAGGAATCTACAGATTAGTGGGGGAGCTAGACACAAACATAATACAATGTTTTTAATACAGGGTGTTTTTAATATGCTTTAGTAGATGGGTATAGAAAGTACCTTGGGAGCACAGAAAGGAGGGACAACTCTACCCCAGGGCATTAGAGAAGGCTGATAGGAAATGAGGCATTTGCCTTGGGTCATGAAAGATCTATAGCATTCATGGAGATGAAGAAAATATAGAATATTCAACTCAGTATCGCTTAGTGAAAATAAATGATATGTTCTAGTGTGACAAGATCATGAGGTTTATAAGGAAAGGTGGGAGAGGAGTCATAAATTAGGTTGAGGTTAGATTATAAGGCACATATATCAAGCCAAGGAGTAAAGACTTTCTTTTTTAAGATAAATAGATGTTTTTTGGCAGTGGAGTAATTTGTTTAGGTTTGTGCTTTTTCAGTGCTAATTCTGACCACCATATGAAGGAGGAACTCTCATTGGAAGCAATTAAAGGGCCTCAACTAAGGTGGTGCCAAATAGGAATCAGGTCAACTCCAAGGATGGTTAAAACTTATATTCATGTTGGAGAAATACTAAAAGTGCCATCTGTTTTCTCTTGCTTCAGTTTTGTTCTTAAATTTGGGGTAACAAATATGGTGAAAAAAATTCATTCACTTACCAAATATTTATAGAGTACTTGCTGTGTGTCAGGCAATATTGTAGGTACTCGGGATATACGTCATTGACTAAAACTGCCTTCCTGGAAATTATATTCCAAGAGAGAGATATAGTCTGTAAAAAAAAAAAAATAAGTAAATGATATCCTATTTTATAAGGGAATAAGTGTTATGTAAAAAAGAAAGTAGAACAGATGGAAGAAATCCAGAGTACAGAGGGAAAAGAGGATTTGTGGTATTCTGTAGGGTGCTCAGGGTAGGCCTCATTGAAAAGCAGAAAATTTGAGAAAATATTTGAAGGTGATGTGACAATAGATTTCTTAGGGAAGAGCATTCCAGAAAGAGGGAACAACTAAAACAGAAGCATTGAGATAGGGAACATGCAAAGCATTACAAAAAGGAGGCCAGAACAAAGTGGCCAAGGGATAAAATAGTAAGTGATAAAGTCGGAAGGGTAAAGAAAGGACTGCAGAAAATTAGGGCATTGTAAGGACTTTGAATTTGACTCCAAGTGAAATGGGTAGGCCTTGCAAGATTTTGAGCCTAGGAGTGAAAGGATACGAGTTCATTTCTAAAAGGAACTCCTGTGTCAAAGGCATAAAGCTTTATTTTCTGAGTTAGAGGTTTTTAAACAGTAGAGTGACATGTTTAGACTTGTGTATTGGGAATAGACTGGAGATGAGCAAACAGTTGATTTAGATGAAGAAAAGGCTAGTCATGCCCATCAAGAAAATATTGTTATTTTTCAAAATGCAGCTCCTGAAAGCATTGCATGTCTTATTACTCTAAACTGAGTACCTTAGACAAACTGGACATAATCTTTGGAAAAGAAAACTTCTGATGTCAAAATTCCAGTTAAGTTGTCTGACTCTGCTCTTCCATTACACGACTCTGCTCTTCCATTACACACTTAGAAAGTCAAAGAAACATTAAGCTGGCAAGTAGTGAAAACAGAGAACTGTTTATGGAAAACATTGGTGCATAACAGGACATGCATAGCAGGGCAAGAATCAGATTATGTCTGTGCAATGCCAAGAAGAGTTGCCAGGAGTACTTATCATCTTTGAAATTATCCACTTTGTTATCCCCTTTGCTGTTTTTGCCTTTTTATACCCAATCTCTTAGAGGATGGGGCATTTGTGTTTTAAGTTTTTATTTTATGTTAATTATAGCCAACTGTAACCTATTCAAAATAATAATTTAGGAGCTCTTCTAAAGTTGAGAATACTAAGACTTTTTAAAAAAATTACTAAAACTTGGAATAGCTTTTTCAAATGCCAAGGCAGATTTATCTTGAACATTGATTTTGATATAAGGTTTATGTGATTTTTTGCTTATACATTAGTTTTGTTTAAATAATGTCATGCCTTTTGTATCTAGGAAACTTTTTCACATAAATTAAATACAGATTAAATTTTAAATAGCCCATGACTTTTTCCATTTGCTCTAAGTTCTCTCTGACTTTTCTACTCATAGTAATATCTTGTGATTTAAGCATAGTATAGAAAGGAAATCATAAGCAGAGACTCTGATACATGTACAAGTTAAGAGTATGAATAAGGCTTGCAAGAAGGCAGAAAGGTTTGGAAGAGGGAAACTCAG